GGCTCAAGTAGCAACAAGACCAAGACTTGCACAACTATTTTAATCAGGAGCAGTTACCAACTGCAGATTCTATGGGTTCAATATTTAAGGGATCCCTCTCCTCGGGAACATTTAAAGCAGACTACACAAACTACAGGCCAATTCATTACTGAGTACTCTCTCTCTTACAAGGGGTTGGACCATCCAATACAAGATGTCTTTTCCATCACCGGTTTTGTTGCTGGAGAGGGCTGTGCTGGTGGCCCTTATAAAGACCATCCCCTTGAACACTCTGCTTACTTCAAAGCTGAGGCATGACTAATCCTTGCACTGGCTGTGACGAGCAGCATAGCCCATATGCATTAGCTTGCAAATCCAATGTCAGCAGCCACCATCAAAATTTGCATCATCCCAAATCTGAACAGATCTCCCTTCTCCAGCAGCAGCAGTCTGAGCCAGAGAGAGGAAGTGTTTCTATCTGCTGTAGTAGCTTAAGCCTTTGGTGTCCTTACTTAGAAAAAGCTACAACACTAGGGCCAGGGGTGCAGAGGGGTATTTTGAGGCAGAAAATGACAGATTGCATTAAATGCAATGAGAGGTTGGACATAGGGGAAGGGATGTTGTATTAATAGTTTCTCAGGAACTGAAGTGCCTGCGTAGACTAGTGTGATAAAGCCTGATGGATTCAGGTTGTCACTTCAAAGGAATGGTTTCTGGCGTGGATGTAGTCACTGCTGTCTTTCTTAAATGAATAAGAAGTTTAATCAACATGGACAGCTGTGACAATCAGTGACAAGGGAACTTTAATTAGCATGGAGTAGACTGCCCATGCAGTGAGTTGAAATTCCCATGGCAATAACAACATTAAATTGGACTGGCAGAATAGGGAGGCCCATAGAGGCTGACCACTTCCCCGATTAGTTGAGGAAGATTATTTGGTGGGTGACCTTATTGTTACACTAAGCACAAATCAGCCAGCTGACCCACAGCCTTCAAGAACTGGTAATTGCACTGGCAAATAAAAATGAAAAGTGCTGCATCATTTACAGTTGGGTTTTCTGTACCGACAAACCTAATGTCAGCTGTATGCCTGGGTAAGGAATACGGATTTTATTGGATGCAGATAAATGCATGAGGCAGATAACTATGAATTAGCTTCCCTATACAATTTAATTGCTAAAATGAATGGCACATGTTAATATCTAATTTCACTACGGTGTAAAATCCACCCACTTTCTGTTCTGCAAATAAGACAAGCGGGGGGAACTGCACATGTGGGATACCAAGCTGGCACATGTGAGGTATGTGGTGTGAAGGCTGCACCATGAATGTTGGTGTATTACTGAGGAACTGTTATGTGCCCATGTAATTAAAGCCTGTACTGGAACATACACAGTCAGGAAAGCCGACTTTCTGCTGACTATTTCAGGTTTTAAAGAAAAAACCACAATCATTCTCATCCATGTGGTTGACAAAGAGAGGCTATGTACAGGTCCAAGTCACTGCTTCCTTTGTCTCTCTCTCTCATGTCGCCCGTAACTTCTGCATCAGATAAACCCACCATAAACCAGCGCTACCAGCAAAAAAAGCCCTCTTGCCTCCCAGCCACCCTCTGCCCAGGCACCTGCATGATCAGGGGGTGAGCTGCATCAGGGAGCTGGTCCAGCCCATCACTAACCTTTTTCTTTCTTCTCAGTTTAACTCCGCTCTTTTCCCCTTCTCCTTGCATCCTACCAATACTGGGCAGGCACGGGGGTTGGTAGCAGGGCAGGAGAGGCGGGAGGGTGCCTGGCGAGAGGAGGGCTCTGCCTTTGGGTGGTGGGGCTGGTTTGCACCACCTGAAAGTGTTCATGGGACTGTGCCTGCAGGCATTTACACACAGGCAAAGCAAAGGCAAAGAGGGGGCATTGCCAAATCATACTGGCAAGCTTTTCCTCTCCCGGGTTTGGGACGCCATGGCTGCCGGTGGAGTGGCAGGGTCGCCAGACATGAGTGCACAAACCAGCCTCAGCCTGCAAGAAACATTTGGCCCTGTGGCCACTTCCTTCAAAGTGCTCTCCTGCAGCTCCTGCTCCTTTGCTTTACTTTGCCTGGCTGCTGCACCACACTCCTTTGCAACCACCCTCCTTTGCATTTATCCAAGGAGCAGCCACGGACACACACCAGCCTAAGCCCAAAATTCAGTATCCTCCTCTAACCCTCTCTGGTTTCCGCTCCCTGTGCCGCTGCTGCTTGCACCTCATGCCACTGGTGCCTCCCCAGGTCACACTCGTGCCTCTCCATGCCTGCAGCTGGTGGGTTTGCTCCCATCAAGTATTTTCAGTTAAAATACTCCTCGGCCACCCCCGCCCCGCAGTGCCGCACATGGCAGAGGGCTTATCTCTCAGGAGCAGCAGCTGCACCTGTACAGGATTTGCCTCCTGCCCTTCCTCAGGCCAAAGGCAGATTTGGTCCCTGGCAGCAAGACTTTCAGGCCTGAGACAGGTCAGAAATGTTTGCTGCAGCAGATGTCACTGGACAGAGCTGTTTTGCATCACCCCTGTTCCAAAAACATCACTTTTCCTCAGTCAGGAGCCAGTGCCCAGTCTCAGGCAGTGCTGCCCCAGCACCACCACTCTGCCTCCCCCTGCTGATGTTTCCCCCCTCCAAATGGGCCTCCTGTGGGCAAGCACACACCACCAGGAGCCCTCTCCCCTGTTCCTTGCCTGGGAGCTTGTCCCAGGTGTGCAGAGGAGGGGCAAGACAAGAGGCACAAGCCAGCAACATGTTGGACAACAGCTCCAGCCAGGAGGGACGAAGCCAGCTGAGCCTGGCTCACCAGCCCGCCTTCGAATGGGGACAACCTGCTCCAGCAGGAGAGGGCTGGCTCCACTAACTGTGGGGCTGAGGCATTTCTGGCACAAGAGCCAGTGTCGGGATGGGTGGAGAGCCCCTATGCCCTGTCCAGAAGGTATCAGCTCCAAAGCTTGGGTAGGAGCACAGGGAGGCTGCACACGGGGGCTGCAGGCACCGCAGGGCACCACGTGCGCAGTGACAAAAAGCAACACCAGCCCTGGGGCTGTCCTAACCTGGCCAGACATAGCAAGGGAAATTCTCAAACAAAACACACAATGGAATCACTAGCTCTTGCCATAAACAAAGTAGGGCTAATCTTTGTGCCCTTTACCTATCTCATTCGTACGTGACCACAAGGCTAAGCCCAGTGCTCCAGCTCGCTTGATGTCCTGTCTCTAGCGACAGGCAACAGCAGATGCCTGGGGATGAACAAAGCAGAGGGAAATCACACAGTGCTGCTGTCAGCAGGTCTGGTTAGTCCCTGCAGTAGAAATTTTCTTCACTGGCAGCTGAGTTTAAACACGAGAAGGCAAAGCAAACTTTCTGTCCCGTAAGGATGCTGCAGTGTGCTCTAGCCGCCCGGCAGGGCATCAGGTCATTTTTACATTAGGCACTGCATACTCAGGCTTAATACAAATTTGTCCCCGACCCAAAACTATGCGCAGCTTTCAGCACGCAGGTGGAAGGACTCAAAGTAGTTGTATTTGCCCTTTATGAGGGATGGATCATTAGACATAACTGGAATGGAAATAGGAGTGGTGATGGAGGGAGCTGGAGGTGGTATTTTCCCCCATTTTCTTGGCTGTTTTCTGCATTATTATGGCTTGGTCATTAATATTTTCAGCAACCAGCTTAGGTGGTGCATGTGCTGTTAGGAGCTGTTACACCTCCTGTCATATTTAGGTGGTGACCTTCGCTGACGTCCCTTTGCCGCCTGCTCTCTTTACGTGCACTGATGGTCTCATGCTTGGCTTGCTCATGGCTGGCTGCGGTGGAGAAACAAACTCTGTGGCACCTAGTAATTTCTCATCTTTTTTCTGTATTAAGCTCACACTTTCTAAAGTTACCTTTTTACTGTCCCTCTGAAGTCTAGTCTTTCCTTGACTTATTTGGTGATGAAGATTTAAGGAAGTCTTCCTCCTCCTTTTTTTTATAAAAATTAATATGCAGTTTACAAAAATAGTAAGTCATTCTGCTGTTCTTTTGACCAACTGCTTCTTTGGTAAACATTTGATTTGGGGCTTGTCTGATCATTGCTGTCTCTTCTGGGGATTATCCCAGCTAAATCCCCTTAATCTTGTCATGCTGTAGTGAAAAGAAACAGCTCTTTGCCCTTGCTTGGGAGGGAGATGCTGTACTGTAGGAGACTCTCACCAGACATTCAAGTCATGAGTGAAGTTCAGCATTTTCAAACCTTCTGACACCAGCCTGATGATGCCCTGTGAATAAGTGCATCTCACAAGGACATAAACTCATGTTCCCAAGGCTGCTACCATCCCAATACCTCAGTTGGGGCCTCAGCTAAAATCCACTAGTGACCTGTGAGACTGTTTCCTATGACTTGACTGTAGCTCTGTGCCACCGTTTACCATTTCTTTTGTGCTTTCCAAAATAACCCAGTCCTCCGGGAGCACCTGAGCAGCTGTGGCTTGCATTGCTTCCCCAGCTGTAACACGACAGGGTGGGTTGCTGCCCATGCCTTCCTCTCCAGACAGAAAAGCAACATGCTAAATTTGTCGCTCATCTGCTTTGGACATTGTGCAGCTCATCGTAAAGCATGGGTGAAGCATGGCGAGCCAGCGGGGTGGCAGCACCAGTTCTCTCAGGGGCAAAATGCTGGGAGGTCACCCACCATGGCCACCAGCCTCTGCACCCAAAGAACCCTCTGCTTGTGCATGCTGCTTTCAAGCCCTTGCAGTGAGGGCACCGACTCGCAAAGGGGAGTCAAAGCTGGTGCTTGGAGAGATTTTGGTGGCACTTTAGAAATACCTCCGCTCTTGTTTTATCCTAGACGCGACGTAGGTGGAAAAAGGTAAGCTCCAAGGATGTGCTCCCCATACTCATTTCCCTCCCACATCAATCCTCAGGCCAGGGGGGACTCTGCAGCCACCCCATTGCCTGCTTCCTTCCAGAGCGAGGGCAGCCACCGAGCACACACCGACGGAGCCTTTCCTTCCTCTCTCTAGGCTTCAGTTCAAAGGAAGAATTGAATCCGAAGCCACCGGACTCCATCTCCCAGGGAAACCCAAGTATGTATTTCAGAATTAATTTCATAATTAAGCAATACCATTTTATTAATTACACATTCCTAGAATGCATTCAAATTAAATAGCAAAAGATAAGTTTTCAAGAAAGCCTGAGACACTCGAGGAATGCATTTTTTCCCTTGCAGAGGAACAGCGAGAGCTCTTCGCCGATCCCTCTCACACATGTAATTGATTTTTGCTTCTACAGGGAAGGAAATAACAGCCAAGATTTAGCTTACCTGGGCAGGGAGATGGTGGCTGCTCACTGCTACCTCTTCCCGGGCAGTATCAGCTCCACGTTCCTGGGATGCAGAGCTTCACTCAGGGACTTTGATGGTGGAGGACAGCAAACCAATGTGTTGCGGACAGGGTTAGATGAGTGAGTCCTCCTGACCAGAGCAGGCTCCCATGGCTATGCTGAGTGCGGGCACCCTTCCCACAGCAGTGGGTGGGAGGGAAGGAAACCACCTGAGAAAGGCACCCTGCGCCTGCCGTAGCAAGGAGAGAGGGGATGCAGAGGGACCATCAAGGATCCCTCAGTCCCAGGATGGAGATATAGGGTCCCCTACTCTGAAAAGGAAAACTTCTACAGCCTTTTATAATTAAAGGCAGATTTGCCCATTAACTCATCTTTAGATGGGGCCCAGAGTAGAAGGAGAAAGAGAAAGCAAGCTCTGAGTGGAGAGATGGGTCATCTGCCGCCTCCTCATGGGAAGCCACCCTGGAGAGGGGGCTTCACCCTCCCACCGGCACCCGGGTCCTCTCTTGCCCATCCTCCAGCAGCCGAACGCCGTCTCTCACAGAACTGGCATTTCAAGGACTCGCTACATTAACT